TACAACGAAAACTCCTTAACCTCACAATACATGGACAGACATAACCATGATTTTCACTGGGAAACCATGAGTAGCTTATTTATTTTTTATTTTATTTATTTATTTTATTTGTCAATCATTTACAAGATAATAAGCATAAGAATGAACATGAGTATGAATGAAATGGGTACGAATGAATGGGGACAGTAGGGCAGGGATGGTAGGCACGATGATGTGCTTATGCCTGCTCCTTACAGACTCTTAGGAATGGAATGAGGTCAATAGTAGACAGTTAAATTTAATCAAGTTAAATTTAAAAATGCTAGGGAACTTTTTGAATTTGGCACTCAGACACATAAGTATGATGTTTTCTCCCTGTTCTTTGGTGAGATTATTGTTTTATGCTTAATTATTTGGTGTGGATGTCTCCTTATGGAATGCGGTGGTTCAGTAGCTAAGATGCTGAGCTTGTTGATCAGAAAGGTCAGCAGTTCAAATCCCTAATGCCACATAACAGAGTGAGTTCCCGTTATTTTTCCCAGCTTCTGCCAACCTAGCAGTTTGAAAGCATGTAAAAATGCAAGTAGAAAAATAAGAATCACATTTGATGGGAAGATAATAGTGTTCCGTGTGCCTTTGGCATTTAGTCATGACGGCCACATGACCATGGAGATGTCTGCAGAGAGCGCTGGCTCTTCAGCTTTGAAGTCAGGAACGACTAGCACATATGTACGAGGGAAATCTTTATCTTTACCTTTAATGTCTCCTTATCTTAGTCTTAGTGGTTGAAGAGGATGTGTTCTGATTTTTTTGTTTCCGTCTTAGCTTTTTAATTGTCACTTTTGAATGGTATGTAAATCTATATTGATATAGACACAAAGAGGTAGCACCATTTACACCCTATTCAAAAGTGAAAGGAGTTATTAACACCAAATAATTAAGGAGAACACAATACTTTAACCAAAAAAGAGGGAGAAAACACCACACTGAGGATGTTGCCTAGTTAGGTAATGAAACATCTTCAAGCAAACAACCAAGTTTACAGGGCACCAAGAACTCAACAATTCAACCTGAGCTACAAGTATTTTCTTCTATTGATATTTAAGTATTAATTTCAAATCAATCGGATAAATGTTCATCTTTGGAATCCAAATTCAGTGAAATACTTGAAATACTTGTTCCTTGAAAGTGGATAATTCAAACAAAGACTGTTTCAAAGCATCAAATATTTTTGAGAAGATAATTTCTCTGGAGGAAAAATGATGTTTCTTATATGAATCTTTTGAGATTGCTTACCACAGATGAAAACATTTTTTTAAAATCAGGAATGCCTTTAGAAGTCTTCTAAGAAATGCTTTGTTATGTGATACCTGTCAAATATGCTTGCTCATATAATTCGTTGATGCTCAATAATTCTGAAT